CAGCCGGAACGCAGCGGAACCGCGTTCCGGCACCTTTTTCCGGGCCGGCCGCACCGGAAATAGCCCCTCCCACACCGGAAATAGCCCCTCCCAAATTTTACTTGCATTCCTGTTCTCTAAAGGGGCGGTCCTAGGGTTTGATGAGGGCGTGGCCAGGTTTGAGTTCCGCCACCTTTTCTCCGAGAAAAAAAGCCCTGACCACTATACTAAATTGGTTGGTGCAGCCTGTGGGTTGTTTTTTTTTTTTTTTAGCCCAGAACAAACTGGATTCAGAATATAATTATTGAGTAAGTAAATGTGGGGCTTTGGGTGATATTATACTTTTAGAAGGATATAAGGCAGTTTTGCCCTCACATGAAAATCTGTGTTATCATTTACTAGCCAAACTTTCATCCTACTAACAAAAGATCCCTTTTATCATCTAGGAGAGCCCTAGTGTCAAATACACTTTGGCTCTCCACAATGCTGCTAGCCAAAGCACAACTTGGAAGTTATTTATTCAGAACCTTTATATGGCGGCCCAACTCCAATAAGGTGACTCTGGGTGGTCAAAAATACAAAAAAAGAAAAGCACGTACCATCAAAGCAAACTAAAATATTTCAAAGATGATCAGAACTACAATATCTCTCCACCTCAATACGTTATGTGCCTAGCAAGTTATCATACAACATTGTATAGGAGAGATGAATACAAAAAGAGAAGTCTATAATATTTTCAAAACGGATAAAGTTTTGGGTTTGTCGACTCAAGGGAAATAAACTACTGAGTTTGTTGCTAAATCACATTAGATTTTTAAGGATATCTACTGAAGATTTTATTTAAAATACTTGATAATCTGAATTTGAGTTATAAAGTCTGTAAGACAGAGATCAAGATAGCTGAGGAATATACTGAGTAAATAAGAAAATTGTGAAAGACTGATCTGAGATTCTAAAAAGAGGGTTTTCTACAGACTGAGTTGCTGAAAGAGAATTACATGTGTTTAACCAAACCTAAACATATTTATTTGCTATTTTAACATTGGCAGGCACTTCATAGCCAATGCAATAACATTGTTTTATTATGCAGGAAGCACTAAAAAGATCGTCCAGTGTTAATATTATCAAATTACATGTTTTCTTATTCATTGTGACGAGAATCACAATGAATTATGAAATATATCTGACTTATTCAAATCTAAACCTAAACCAAACAGACTTCCGATTAGACTGGTAAAGAATTTCTTCATCATAACAATTCTTAAGCATTGTTGATCTGCCACCTTTTGTAGTTGAGTGCTGGATTTGAGTTTTGAGTGGTAGAGCCAAAACAAAATTAATATGAGAATTTATATTAAAAATTAAGTACAATTAAATATATACTATTATTACTTCCTATATATTTAATACATCTCCATCAACATTACAGCTTGATGACAACTTTTAAAGGGGCTCTTGGCCTTACGTTATGTGATTTTAACTTGTGATAATGTTGAGTCAGTAGAAATATTACGGGTCAGTCTTGAAGATGTTGTTCAAAAGGCAACTGGACTTTCTTGTGTTTTTTTTTCCACTGAAGAAGTTTCTTGGAAGAAGAGCGAAATGTTTTCAAGGGAAAAAATCCAAGAAAGCCCACTTGTCTTTTGAACACCTTTGGGACAACCATAACCTGGATGACTGAGAATGTGTTATCATTCTCATCCAGTGATGTTTCAGAAGTGAGGCACTACCAAATTACTGCCCTTTGGAGGATAATCACCGATATATTTCAATCTACAGGTTAACAATTGATTGGGCTTCACAGATTCACATTATATAACAGTGCTTGAACTCACTTCTTTCCTTGTCCAGTGGTGGGATTCAGCCGGTTCACACCACTTCAGCCGAACTGGTAGCTAATTTTATGTTGCCCAGGCTCAGAACAGACTTCCAGAAGCGGCATCCACACAGAGAACCGGTTGTTCACATATTTGAATCCCACCACTGCCCTCCTAAGATTTTAGGAAAGGCACTACAAACATATTACAAGGTATGAACATGAGACAAAGTGCTCCAGAAACATCCCAAATCCATATCATTTCAGAGTACAGGTTCATCTTGTATGGTTTTTTTATGCAAAAGGGGAAGGGGAAAATGTCCCATTTGTAGAGTAACAATCCTTCTTAGGCAAAGGGCAGGCAATAAAACCACCAACCCAGCCTGCTAAAACCTGTTCAACCACTAGTTTTCAACTGTTCTTGTTAAAATGGGAGAGGGAGTGAAGGGATGTATCAATTTAGCAATGCATAAACAATGTTTTGTTTAGCAGATACCATATCTAGAAAAGGCCTTTAAACATCTCGCTTATAAATCATACATATTTGTAATCATCTCTGTAACCAAAAGGCATTCGAGGCAGATAAAAGTTCAATGTTTCTCTCATAGACTGTTTCATTTTGTGTACAATAATACCGATTTTTTTTAGAGTAACTGAAGATAGGGAATTAAAATCCAATTTATTAGACGCCAAAGGACCAAAGACGCCCCAACGTCTGGAGGGAGATTATGCTAATTTTGGCTGCCAATTTATCTTCAAAGTCATATCTATATGTAGGATGGAGTGCGAGTCCCAAATTCCCCCCAAAAAAAAAAACAATTTTCGTGCATGTCGAAGGTTTTTTTTTTTAAATGCTTTTGATCTCACGCTTTTTTAAAAAAAGCCTTTGTGTAATGGCAGAAGATAGTATGTACCAAGCCGGTCCCCCAAAGATCAGTACGGCACCATATTAACATTTGCAAGTTTTCCGACTGTAGAGCATTCTCTATGACAGTGTTTCTCAACCTTGACCATTTTAAGGCATGTGGACTTCAACTCCCAGAATTCCACAGCCAGCAGGACTTCTACCGTTACAGCCTATAGCGGCCGCAGCGCTTCCCGACTTCANAAG